TTTCAAAAGCTAACTCTCATGCCATTCGAAAGAGGATCATGAAAAACCTATAAAAAAATGGTTCATGAAATTTTATTTCGCTCATAAAGCTAAAGTCCGCCTGCTCAAGCAAAAAATGTCCACTGTGGCCAGTATCTGATGCATGTTTTAGAGCTTCCCCCAAAACTCTCATAACTTTTGATCAGAACATTATTCAGAGCTGGAAGATATCTCATTTTGATCAGAAATGTTTGTTCTATTTTTTGGTGTTATTAAAAGTAATTAATACCTTAATTTTCTATCCATATTTAAAATCTATATTTTCTTGAAAACTTTTCTTTTGAGCTTTTTCCGACTTTAATATTAAAATAGAGGTCGCTATGAGATTCAGCGTGGTCCATAACCTATGTTACCACTTTTTTTTTTTTTTTTTATTCCGTTCAAACGTTATTCAAAAAACATTCGAGTGCACTGCTTTTTGACACCGATAGTATAACTATCTAACATTTAAAGACTAACTCCAACCGCATATTACCTGGAATAATACAGCAACCATATGCATCAATTTTTTGTGCAAATGGTTCACCAGGAAATTGTTTTCGAATGTCTTCATCGTGACCGATTGCAACTATATGATCACTGAAATACATAAGACAATAATAAGGTCTGCTAGATAAGTTCGTAGCAGTTTCATTATTATTAATTCACCGTCACCGTTATTAGTTTTTCAATGAAATTGTGCAGAGATAAGTAGAGAAATTGTTTTAATTTATCGATCAATTCACCAAATACTATTACTTTATGTTTTTTTTTCATTGAGTAACACGTACTTTTCAATCACCATACTTAAACCTAGATGATTTTCTTCTACATTTATCACATGTATATTTCCCATATCCTTTCCGCACAAATATTTTTCGCCTTTATTTGTAACAGTGACAATTTGTTTAGCGCCATAAATCAATGTCAAACGACCCGTCCACATGTTTGTTCAATATCAACTTAATTATCTATGAAATAGACGATTTTAAAACGATTCAATGCTGAGACCGACTTAAAGCTCAGTGAACTCTGGTATAGCCAACTCAATTCAAGTACTTTAAGAAAAGTGGCTACACTGCATAAATATTTGAAACGTGAAAAAAAAGAAAAATTCGTAATAGCTATCAGATAAACAACAATAAAATCAATCTTAACTGGTGTGATTTACGATCAATCTCTTCTTTAGAGTTAAATTTTTGAACTGTAGATTTATTGTGCAATTATATCTGATGGGACTCTACTATTATCATGTACTGCTACTATACTGATGTCCAGATTTTTTCCGGAAACTGACTCCTCTCAGAATCCCAAAATATATGGCTAAAAGTTATAATGACATTTTTATCTTATAACAAGGTTACTACTGATTGCCGAATGTCTTATGAAATAAGAAATCGTGTATTAAGAGATTGGTTGTAGATTGGTCATAAATTAGAGAAAATGCTGGCTCGACAAAACGTTTCAAATAATTATTCCTGACACCTTTATTTCCATGTCCAAATTTGCTTTTCTTTATATCTTAAAAAACATGAAGAAAAAGAAAAGAAAAACAAACAAACATATTCAATGTTAACATCTTTCAAAAAACATACAAATCAAAATCAATTAGTGTATTATATACATACATACAATATTACAGCGACATAAAGAGACAGAGCAGGTGGGTGACAACAAACAAATGGAAACTAAAGAAAAATGGAAACACGTGGAAGTTGAAAAAATGATAGTAATCTTGTTGGCTGTTCTATTTACCAGTCTATTTTTTTAATTGAAAAAAGGGGAACAAAACACGCATATACGGATTTATTTTCTCAATGTAGAGAAAAGAGAGTTAGAACAATTTAATACGAAAAATAAGAGCAAATAGCAACAACAATAAGAAAATTATTGTCTGGACAAATAAAATTCTTAGTCTGATTGAAGTTGTATTTAATATGGATTTGATCTATTGTCCCTAAAAAGAAAATGAGAACAGGATAAAACTTGAATATTATACAAATTAATTAGGTGTTTACCTCGAAAACCCCCGTGAAGCACCACCGCGTCCACCACGAAATCCTCCACGATCGCCACCTAGAAACAAAAAATAATTAGTCGTATTTGAGAAATCGAAAAGATTAGCCTTACTAAAATCAGTATTACTGAATTATTATGAATGAGATATTCAGAGTTGCAGAGTCTACCTGTTTGCTCCGACAGTTGTCGGGGGAAAACTTGTTGATTTCGGAAAATTTTTTGAAAAATTGGAACTTCTTTTTGTAAATATATTGCAAAAAGAAATTCTGTTCATAGATTATGTCAGGGAATTATTTGAACAACTTTTTCTGTCAGGGAAATTGTCTAATCTCACAGGTAGATTCTGCATCTCTGGAGATATCCAAAAATCGCTTAGTTTTTTATGCAATAAATGAACACTTCAGTTATCAAAACTGAAATAATTTTCTTTGTATAATACAAATTTAATTTTCTACTATCTGTACGGCGCATGGCTATAGTTTAACTTGATTCGATTCTCGTAAATGGCTTTTTCTGCTCAACAACACTGAACTGGCATATTAGGTAGTATAGAAATAATGGCATACTATTTTCTTTAGCTTCTGGTATTATTTATTCATCGAGTAAAAATTTGAGCTTAAGGTCATTCGATTGAGAATTTAATTCTCTACAAAACTAGCTGATTTAATTCTGGACTGATTTTTCGGTTATTTTTAATCCTGAAATCAAGATTAT